GATTTCCAAGACAAAACGCAGGGTCAATTTAGGAAGTTAAAAATAGCACTTGCACCTTTTCTTCCTCTCCTATGCATCTGTTCTTCGTCTTCCTTTTGTTTTTGCTTAAACCCAAACATCAAACATTTGAGAAATGAACAAAAACGGCTCTTGGTGATTCCTGGAACCACTCACAACACCATTGCCGGTGGGAAGGAGTCACTTGTGGTACTCGACACCAAAGGGTCATTGCCTTGACTCTGAGGAGTAAGCAGTTGTCTGGAGCTATATCTCCTCAGGTCGGAAATCTAATGCCTTGCTTGGATTGTTGTTTTCCGTAGAAAAATTTCGTCATTTTCCGTGAACATATTTCCCTATTACCTTTTTTCCTCACATACATCAAATCGCTACAGTAATTTTTCCATGAAAAATGACGGAAAATGCAATCCAAACGGGACCTAAGCTTCATGAGGTTCATCCAATTTGGGGAGAATCAATTCCATGGGGGATTCCCCAAGAATTCGGTCGCCTCCTCATGCTAAGAGTCTTGAACTTGTCGAGTAATGCACTCGGTGGAAAAATCCTAGAAAATCTGAGCTACTGCGCAGAAATGATAGCTATTGACCTAACCAGTAACAAGCTAGAAGGGAAGATTCCAATCGATCAGCTAAGCAATTTGAAGAAGCTTAAAGGATTATATTTTACCAAAAACAATCTGACGGGAGAGATTCCCTCTCCCATTGGGAACTTATCATCATCATTGATCGGACTCGGCATTGACTTCAACAATCTGGAGGGAAGTTTGCCTCTGGAGATGGGGCTTTTGAAAAGATTGGTTCAATTATTTCTCGAATGAACGGGGATTCAATCCACTGAGGCGTCTCTCAAAATGGATATGAAGGCTCAGACTTCTTGCTATCTTCCCAAGCCAGTTAGTGCTAAAAAGAGCCCCTGAGTGCAGACCAATCCCCAGGGGACTAAGCGCATTCAGTTATCTTTCAAAGAGCCTATTCTAAAAGCAACCTATTTGAATTTGAAAACAGCTTCTTCTAGGAATGACTATTCTGCAGCGGTAATTGCAAGGAGAAAGGGAGCACCGCTTACTCAAGCACTAGTACCGTCTAAGCATCCCACAGCTGATGAAATAGTACCGGCAACTGGTGGAGCTTCTAGGATCAGATCTGCAGCTCCTTCTGTAACAGCTTAGGGTGGATTGGTTTGAATAGCCCTATTGACCAGGAGAGTCAGCATTACCGCAGCTTTGACTCTGTTGCAGGAAGGACTACTTGGAGTTCCATACCATGACTTCCATGGCAATCTCCCAATTGACGTGGATCTCACCCTACCAAATCTGAAACTATTAGTTGTTAGGAAACAATTTCTCTGGAAACTTTCCCACTTCAATCACCAATGCTTCTGGGCTTGAGGAACTTGCCCTAAAGAAGAAGATGTATGTTGAACTTCCTAAATTGACCCTACCTTTAGTTTTGGAAATTGCCCGATCAGACAGACCGGGCAACTTAACGATTAAATCTAACAGAATGGCCTTGAGTCTCAATTTTATACATTTTAATGGTCAAAACCAGACTTTTAATAATTGAGTGACCAAAACTCGACGATTGCAAAAGTTTAGTGGCCAGCCAGATAATTTGCTCTTCAGGTAAGTCCACCATATAGGCATTCAAATTAATGTGATGTAGAATTTTGTCGGGACCATATTTTCGTGGTTGTAGCTTGCCATAAGTACCAACTGGGAAGCGCTCGCGTCTCAAGTACACCATCACCATATCACCTACCTCGATCATGGTCGTTCGACGATGCTTATCAGCTGCTACTTTGAACTTATTATTCATCGATTCCAGCTTCTGCCTGACAACTTCTTGAATATCTTGCACATCCTTGGCCCATATTACCAGCTGCTACACTGTATCCTGAAACTATCTTGAAACATTAAATAACTTGGCCAACTCAACCGCGTGACACGGAAGTTTCAAATAAATCACTGAGAATGGTGACCTCTCAATGGAACTATTAGGGAAAGCAATTTTCGACACGACCTGAAAATGCGACACGAATTTAACACGAAATTAATGGGTTTGGATTGAGATTTCACGAGTTCGGATTAGAATCGGATCGAACCCGATGAACCCGAAAAGAAAACAGGTCAAATTCGGATCAACCTGTGGTTGACCTAATAACCCGTTTACGAATTAAAAAAAAATTAATAAATATAAAAAATATTTTATCCAACTAAACTAAGTTATTCTTTTTTTTCCAAAGGTATTAACCACTTAATCCTAAATGAATTTGTTTAACTTGTGTGAAATTGGAATTATTATATTTGGACAAATGATGTATTACATTATTTTCTACTTTTATTATAAAAAATAAGTTATCTTGCATTATAAAAAATAAGTGCCTTTCTTCCCCAAAACTAAGTTATTCGTTCAGCATTTCCATAGAGTTTATGCAAAAGGACGCAGCATTTGTTTCAATATTTGTTCTTCTCGTGCTATCTTGCATTTGTTACTTAGTTGGCAATGAAGCTAAATGGAAAACAGAGGTGAGCAAGAAATGGAAAAAAGCCAAAACCATACCAAGATAGGTTGGTGCGCGCTGTATAACGTATGGCAAATCAAAATTAATACCTTTGAGACTAGGGTATTTAGTTGTGATAACACCGAGGGTAATTCTGAGACCACCACCAACATCTACCAAAGTTTTGAAGTGCTCGAAACCTTTATATCGTTCAAGGATTCTGTTTATGATGATAGTTGTGTGGTTGATCATTGCCTTATTGAATACCTTAATTGAATCTGGGGTCCCTTCCTGGATATTCAAATGCATGTGCTCCGTGCACCCTGTCAAATGGAACTCCCCTTGCACGAGCTGCATCTTCTAAATTTTTAATCGGTACCTAAATTTTGGGTCAAAGGCATATTTTGTAGAGATTTTAGTACGGAATAAATTGTTCTTAAATACATGCAAGGAATAAAAGCTACTGAGCATACTTGCTCTTTATGGAAACCCCGTGATTCAGGGACGACAGTTGTAGGACTTCAAGGACAAAACTATACAGAACTGGTTTCTGACTCGCAGGTAGCTTTAAACATCCAAGCTGTTAATCCATTAATCCACGGGAGATATCGTACAAGCTTAGTGTTTAGCAAAATTTCTGATATTGCTGCTTCTCATCCCTCATCACTCTCCTCAACTTTCAACTTGAGGTATGGGCTCTAGATATCCATCATGAAAAATGTGGTAGAATATAAGAATATGTACCTCGTTGTTGTAACAAAACAACAAAAAGAAGATAGAAAAGCATCTATAAAAAAAAGGGAAGGAAGGAACAAAAATTGAAAAATTTTTGCACACGTTATTGTCATCATCAATTCATAATTAAAAAAGTCAAAATGAAAGTTGAAGGGAAGCTGTCCACGACAGCAATAAAAAAAAATTAAGCAAGCCAAAAAAATTGAAGTAGAGGTTAAGGTGAAAGCTAGATGATGGATGGCAAAAAAATGATTAATGCTTTTTCTTTCGTATAAAAAAAAAGGGGGCTAGATGATGGATGGCAAGAAATTTGAAAGACAAAGAAATATGGAAATGAAACTTGGGTTGGGTTGCTCGGGATGGGTAAAGTTTAAAGTGATCTGATTACGATGGGAGTCCAGTCCAACCCAACCACTCAAACCAAGTCCATTCAGCGCTTCAAGGGACTAAAGGGGAGCAATTCTTTTGGGGGCTGGGTTTGCTGCCAAATCCGTTGTAGTTGTCACTTTCGTTGTTGTGCTCCTTTTTGGGGTGTGGGGGGGGGGGGGAGGTTCTTTTTTTGTGGTTTTTTTTTAATGTAACCCCTAGCCCCCCAACAAGATTGAGGACGTGTCCGTACTCACTTGACGGGACGTGGAGTTACAATTGTGGAAAAGGCCACGTGGGGAGGGCTGGTTTATAGTGGGTCCCGTTGAGTGCACTTTTAAACTTGGCGCGTGATGTTCGCAGCACGGAGTTTGTGGTGAAGACCGGCGCAAGGCCTGCTGGGTACGATGAATGTATGGCACTGGGAGGAGGCAAGAGGAAGTGTGGGGGTGACGTCCAATCCAGTGCGCGTCGTCTCTGTCTGTATTCCCAAAAGTGCAAGGGAGTGGGGGCAGCTGGAGCAGACAACCAGCCACTAATTCCCTGCCACATGGAGTCATCCGAAACCCCTACTTCTCCCCCACTGCTTCCTTACTTTACAGCCTCAAATAATTCCCCTCCCATTTTCCTATTTCTTGAAAATTAAATCCGCACCAATGCTACTAGTGGCTCAGATTTTTCCAGACACGTTAAAAAAAGAAAAAGAAAAAAGTGAATGTGAAAAAAGGCCCGTTGCCAGTTTTTAAAGCCTTGCTTGGATTGAAGGTTTTCGTCGGAAAATATTATCGTTTTCCGTGATCACATTTCCCTATCACCTTTTTCCCTCACATATATCAAATCGTTACAGTAATTTTTCCATGAAAAATGACGGAAAATGCAATCCAAACACAACCCTAGGTTCTCAATTTGGCCAAAACCCGGTTCTTCTCTCCAGTCTCCTCACCTTCCTTCTCCAGTCCGGCTTCCAGTCTCTTCTTCTTTCTTCTGTTCTTGAAGATCAGTCATCCGTGTTTTATTCTCTGCTCTTAGCTAGGGTTCCCTTCTTTTTCTCTTGCTCTCTCTCTATATCCATTTTGGCTGTAGTGCCAGCTATTGTGTGTGGTGTGTGTGTGTGTTTTTTTTTTCTTTCCGGGAGTTGTAGTTTCCTTAGATTCCGATCCATCATTGTGCTGAATTAAAGGATGATGATGATGATGAGTGTGGGGTGAGTTCCCTCTCATGTATGGTCTGACTCGAAGCAAAACTTGTACAGTTTGTGGATATCCCGAGGTACTCAAACCAAACCAAATCTCATTTTTTTTCTTTTTTATCCATGAAAAGCAGGTGGTTGTGGAAGATGGCTTTGTCTTTTAAGTTGCTATTATTTCTTCATTTCTTGACTTAATAGATGAGTACTGATTGAACCTTCTTTCCTTTTTTTTCCTTTTCTCCTCACATGAAAGGTTTAGGCATCATGCGGTTCGTTTTGGTGAGGATTCTGGATAAGGAATTTTCTTCATGCTCTGTCTCTCCCTCTATGTGATGGCTGGATTCTGATTTAACTGCAAATTCGATAAACCCCAAAGAATAAAAAGAAAGTAGTAAAAGATATGTTCTGTTTCTACTGTATCCGAAATGCTACTACTAGTAGTTAGTTGGTCCAGTGTATTCTTTATTCTAATACCAGTGTTCCTACCTAAGTAGTATCAATTAGTCTTTTGGTTGAGTTTTGACTTGAGTGCTAAGTATTATTTTGGGTAACAGAGGCGGATCCGCATCGAATTCTGTGGTTACTGCTTCTTCTCTTTTGCAGTACCTCTACTATTGACTACTTACCAGGTATCGCCCTCCACCACCACCATAACCACCACGGCCCACAAGATTTTTCTGCTGTTTGATGATGTGGCCGCAGATGAAAGAAAGCTCCTTTTCTATCCCTTGCTCGTCCGAGAGGATTTAAAGCAGCGTTAGCCGACGACATAGCCACCCTCTGGTCCTCTCAGTGTAGATGGACACTTACTCCTCTGGAGAAGAACTGATAATTAAAGTACACATAAGCTCCCTCTCTCCCCAACCCCCCACCTTTCTTACATTTTTTAATTGTGACCAGCTAGGTGCTTCATCCTCACTGGTCCAGCCACCTCAATTTTGCTGCTCTCCCTCTCTTCCAGGCCAGGAAGCCTTACACTATAACTAAGCAACGTGAGCGGTGGACCGAGGAGGAGCATAATAGGTTCCTAGAAGCCTTGAAGCTGTACGGACGTGCTTGGCAGCGTATAGAAGGTTACCAATCTCCTTCCTTTTGATGCTTTATCACAGTTGATATCTCCATCTGGGCTCTCTCTCTCTCATTTGATTGCTTTCTTTTTATGTTTTTCAAGGTTGCTACTTTTGTGGTTTCCCTTAAAATTCTTCTCATCTTTTCTTGTTGGAGTATCATGCCATGTGCTCCTTCCGATGTATAATACTTGCTCTTACTTAGACAACTGTTCTTGCTCCTTTTTCTTTTTTGTTGTTTTCTATCTGGTGGTTTGCAGAACATATAGGAACAAAGACTGCTGTGCAGATCAGAAGTCATGCACAGAAATTCTTTACAAAGGTCAAGCACTACCTTCTTATTCTATGCTTGTCTGAGGGTCGCTTTACCTGTTCCTTTTCTTAGGCCGTATCACATTGGAAGCTTATTTGCCATGGATTTCATTTCACCATTTGCTCACCCATGGAAGTTCTATTAATTTTCATTTTAAGTTTCGCAAATTTTCTTGTGTGCTACTTTTACCCTGGGGATCATGAACTGCATTTGCCAGTAAAACTGCAGTGGACATTAAGAGCTAACCTTGCTATAACATTTTTCTGTTCTGAACTAAATAATATTGCAACTTCTAGGGCCTGAGCATGAGTAGTGCCATGAAAAGGCCATCTAGTATTGAGTGTTTTCCAAATTCTCCATTTTATCCATTATTCAGGAATCATATTGGTTAATGGAGAAATAGCTTCGTGATTGTGTATGAAAGCAAAACTTTGGTAAAGCAATCTGATCTACTTATAAATCTGTAAATCTTCTAATTTTGAGAATTAAATATAAGTTTGCTTCAAATTCATAATGTAAGTGAATGTTATCGTTCTTGAAAATAAAAGATGGTTTGTTATAGTTGTACTCATCTTTAGTGATAATTCTGTATAAATGAAGAGTGCAGCAATTATGATTGCTGGATATTTATATTAATTTATGTAGTTAATCCATTATATATTACCTCTTCAGCATAAACATGCATACGTGAAAAAGATAAGAGTTCTTTAGGTTTGTATGGAAGAATTGACCGATTGCACTTCAGATCAGAATAGGTGGGTTTATGCCTTCCTTCTTATTGCACTTTCATTTTGTGACGCATTTTCTCCATTTCCCATGTTTGGGCCAGAGTTATTCCAGTGCTACCTGTAGTAAAGGAACAATGGTCAAAAGTACTTGATGGTTAGACTAAATCACCTGACTGTGGCAAAAATGAATAATCCAGAACTCAGAGTTATCTTATAGGGTATCTCTGGTCAACGTGCTTTACAAGGTCTAATGCATGTATAACATCCTTACCAACATGGGAGAATAAGTTTAAAGAGTGAACAAGCACACAAATTTTTGTAAATTTTGGTAGATTAGACGGAAAAAAGTTAGATTTCTTACATAAATTGTTGATACCTACAAGGGTATAATGTGCTATAAAATGTTTCTGAAGGAATTTTTGTAAATAAAATGCGGAAATATATCATCTTCAACCTACTTTTTATTGCAGATAACATTTAACGAGGTACACATTTTAAGTCTCTTTATTTGAGTTGGAATTTCACATTCATGCAATCTTTACCATCTTCTTTTGTCATATTTCAATTATTCATCCTTAGGCATATCTCTCATTTTCCCCTCCAAAGCCATATGGGCAAAGCACAAAAGCATCCATAAATGTGTGTTTTTTTTAAAAAATTTTTAAAAAAGTTTATTGGACCTCCTTTGACCACTTCCTACAGCCAAGCACCAGATCTATTATTTTTTGAGTGGCTTTCCTAAAACATGCCTCAATGATTTCAGCGCTATACTCATATTTTATAGTGTTCCTTTGGAATATTTCACAGTCTTCACTATCTTCTTTTGTCATATTTCAACTATTCATTGTTTGGCATAACTCTCATTTTCCCCTCCAAAGCCAGATGGGCAAAAAAGAAAGCATCCTTAAATGTGTGTGTGTGTGTTTTTTTTTGAATTTTGCTGGATCTCCTTTGAACACTTCCTACGGCCAAGCACCAGATCTATTATTTTGTGTGTTTTTCCTAAAACATACCTCAATGATTTCAGCACTATTCCCGTATTTCATAGTGTTCCTTTGCTTCACCTAATATGTTTTTGCATTTTGGAGATGTTTCTAGCCTACATGGCTTAGATCCATGCATATTTTTAGAGTTAATCTTACACACATTGACAGTGTATACACTATCATTGTTGGATGCTTGGCACATATGCAAATTTTAGATTTCAAATTCAATTTCAGATTTGTTGCCATGCATCCAACGGTGATAATGTACATACTGTCAGCATATTGAAGATTAATCCATATTTTTATCAATTATCAATAACTTTGAGGCATTATTCTGTAATGCCAGAAACAATCCTTCGGTTTGTGGGCTATTGCCCGGGGCGGAGTTTACCTAGTGCGCACTCTCGGGTAGCGGCTGCGGGTTCCCTTGTCAAAAAATAAAAATAAAAATCCTTCAGTTTGAACAAATTTATGTTTTGTCATGCCATTTTATTACTTGTTGAACAGGAGTGGAAATATGAGGAAACATATTCATGTATATGTTTGAAGAGTTTTTTTTTTTTTTTTTATACCCAAAAAATTTGGTGTATAAGGCTTCGGTAATCAAAATCTAATTCAGAGTAAAGATACTTAAAAAAACTTAAGTGAAATGGAAATAGAATGATACATGTTCAGGCTAGACCATTTAACTCTTGGTAGATAACGTGTCATGTAATCCAATTCGGAATCAAGATAGAGCAGCTGTGATGAGGTATTTATCCCTGCGCATCAGCCACTGCAGAATAATTAAAAGAGCTACAATTAAATGAGTGTTTTTCATGTATTGACAATTGGCTAAAACAGCTTATTGTATAAAAACTTAACTGAAGAATAATGAGTGTTTATCTTGTATTGACAATTAGCTAAGACAGCTACAATTAAATGTCTTTGTTTAGTACAACAAAGTTTCTTCAGCATCAAGTTACTGCAGTAGTGTGTTACAACCACAATTAAGAGGCTGACATGGTATTTGATGAAACACCTATAGCAATTTGACTAGACCTATATCTGTAGTAGCTTTTTGAGCTCTGTGAGTTAATCCAATCTGTAGGATGAATTTTTAATGCTGTGAAGTTATTTGAAACATGAATTTTAGTGCATCTCAGTTGGATGGCATCGGAAGAGATTGTAGCGCTGAAAATCCTTATGTGTCCTTACGTGTTCTCTCTTTTTCCTCTTTTTTTTTTTATGGGCATCAGCCACTGCAGAATAATGAATACAGCCTAGGACATTATAAAAGATTAACTGAAGAATAATGAGTGTTTGTCTTGTATTGACAATTAGCTAAGGCAGCTCTCCAATTAAATGTCTTTGTTTAGTATAACAAAGTTTCTTCAACACCAAGTTGCTGCAGCAGTTGGTACAACCACAATTAGGAGACTGACATGGTATTTGATGAAAAACCTATTACAATCTGACTAAACCATTGCCTGTGGTAGCTTTTTGAGTTCTGTGAGTTAATCCAATCCATAGGATTTTCAATGCTGTCAAGTTATTTGAAACATGAATTTTAGTTCATGTCAGTTGGATGGCATTGGAAGGGATTGTAGCTTGAAAATCCTTGTGTTTGTGTGTGTGTTTTTTTTGTTGGGGGGGGGGTGTGGGTGGTTGTGTGGGAAGAGGTTCTTGCTATTGAAGAAGTTTTGACTTTTAACCAGCAAGCTTACCTGAGTATCACAACAACAAATGTAATTTTTTTCTCTGAAGAAAAGGAATGTAGAAAGGGATGTCTGAGTATTCCAGTCTGTCAACTACATATTGGGTAACAATTGTTCGAAGGAAAGTTCTGTATAGCACTGAATCCTTTTCATGAAGTTGTGTGAAACTTGTTGTTAGCAAGTCATTAGTAATGTGAGGAGAAAGTCTTGAAATATGATGGAAAATAATAAAATTCCTTTTACTTGATTTTACTACTGCAGAAGAACCAAGCAAGCAAGCTAGTGGTTGTTCTTTTATTAGTTTACTATGTTATATAGATGGCAACCTTCTAGAAGTGGTTGAGGTGTTTCTACAAGTTTGATTTTCTTGCTTTCTAAAGTATGTTAGAACAGCTGTGTGGTTCAAGAAGTGCAATTTCTTCCATGTCAAATATGGAAGCTGGAATTTAAGATCTGTAACGCTCTAAAAGAAAGAGCTTATAAATAAGGAATAGAGAGATGGGTAGCCTTAGATTGTTTTTGAAATTTTACGTTCACATATTGTTGATTATCAATGTTTATGTTGTTTTATTTAAAAATTATTTTAGCAGGGGAGGGGTGCTTTTCTAGAAGCGGGAAGGGAAAAGGGGGATTTGAAGAACAATGTTTACTTAATTAACTGATAATGCATGATATTGTTAAAGGTTTTTAGGTCCCACATTCTTAGGTTTTGCTACATCAAGTGGGAAAATTACTGGTCTTCAAGGTGTTAAATATAGGTTCTTACGGCCTTTGAGTGGCAGACAAATACTCACAAAGGAAGAGTCCACTGATTTGCTCTAAGAGTTGATGAGCAGTTCCTGGAACCTAAGTCCAGTTAAGATGACTATCACATTTATTAAACTTAAAAATTAGAAACTAACCATAATTAGAATGATGTCTAAGCAGTCAGCTTTCTAGGACTGTATATTTTAAGATCATTATATCTTGCAACTGATTGCTTCTAAAATAAGTGAGCATCCAGGAAATGAGATTTGTCCAGATTGTTGATTGGAAGTGAAGGGGACTGAGTGCTCAGTGTTTTAGCTATCACTTATGTTACTCATCCCATCATACCCAAGCTGATTAACAGATACCTGCATCCCATCATACCTGATTAACAACTATGTTCCGGTTGTTTGAGTCTGTACCTTGCTACAGTTCTAAATTTAGTTGTCCCTGTGTAAGTCATGTAATAATCTAGTTAAAGTTTTGTCATAATTATGCAAGTTGCCTTGTTTATTATATAATTAGTGTGGTTTTGGCATTTAAATTCTTGGAGAATCCACTCTTGTAAGTGTTTCTATCATATTGGTTGAGGAATTATAGTTGTGAAGTGCCTAAAGCTTATAGTGTAGTGTCAAAATTGTTGGCCTCATTCAAGAGGAGGTATTACTGATGGTAAGAGGTCACTAGGTCTAAGGGCTGATTTTAGGGGGTACACTTTGGAGAAATTTTCCATTTTGGTTGCCAAGAATTTGAAAAATAAAGAAAGAAGAAGACCAAAAAAAAAACATGGTAATTAAGTGGTATTAAAGACAGAATAGGAATTTTCTTTGTAAATTGCATATTTTTTGATA